TTAGAAACACTAGAAAGTAAGACTGTCCTATGTTATTAGAACACTTCCACTTTAAGGATATACTATGTACATAAGGATTTTGATAATTAATGATATTTGGGCTCAGTTTGGAAGGAGTACAAATACAAATATGTAGAGTGCAAAGATATGTATTTTGCATTATTTTGTATGTATTTGTACTCTTACTAAACTGAGGCTTGGCTTTTTATCCCAAATTGCTCTTCCTCCTCAGGGAAGACCACATGGCCCTCGAGCTCTTAAAGACCAAACCAAGTTTGGATGATAGGGAAAGGTGGTTGTGTTAGACAATGTATTTCCTTAGCTCCAATCAAATTGATATACAGATACATTTATTGTAAATGAATAAAAGTACATTATTGTTTCATGTTGATGTTGGTATGTTTTTGTGTAATTACCCCTTAAACTGGATACTTATGAGACTCGTGCTAGTTTAGAATGTTCTCAACCGCTGGATAGACTTGGGGAATTTATCCCACCAAGGCTGACACTGATGTGTTACCAAAGAAGTTGGGGCAGCTTGTCTCAACTACTAGGGTTAGACCCAAAGTACATGTAGTGTGTGTTTGGATAAAACACTAAACCCGGACAATTTTTCCGTTATAACCTGGACCTTGGAGATTGATGGTTAAAACTAGAAAATTACACATAACCCCTAGATTTGATTATGGTACTACACTAGGTATTGGATTAGGTTATCTTTGATATACCAATCAATGATATCCATCAAGGGTAAAAGCATGGGTATGTTGGGGTAGTATGAGAATTCATTTGAGTGTGTGATTATAGTGATAGGATCGGCTCTTTTGTCAGACAAAGTGAATGATAGGATTTACACTCTCTTTAATGGAAACCTAAACTATCGGTAATGGATTTCAATTGTGTTTGAGATTTGATTTTGCAAAATAGATTTATATGATATATATATATATATATATATATATATATATATATATATATATTATGTTTTATGAAAAAAATGTTTGCAAAAAGTTTTAATTCCCGGGATCCATCCGAGCAGAGAGTGTGACACTACACCTTGCAGCCAGGGGAGAGGTCATACCCTATCGAATAGTGTTTGATCATTATGGGTTGAGAGGTTAAGTGTAAGAGACCATTACAGAACTAATTACCTAATAGGCTTTATCTTACTTAATTTCATTATCCTTGGATCTTCATAAGATGACTGAATTCAATGATCATTTAGGTGTAAACGTTGGGCCTATATTGAGTCCATATGATGTGCTCAAGGGTTCACTACGTATAGTAGTAAATTTGGTTAATCCTTTTCATTGAGGCTGGGATAAACCCATGTGGACTTATGTGAGGTTATTGTAGGGTCCCAAGCCATACAAATCAGGCCTAATTTGTTCATGAAACATCTTGGGTCGTGAGTCTTTGAAGGAAATGGGCCTCCCCCATAACTAATAAAATTAAGTACATGACAACTTAATTGTCATATGCTCCGAGTCAAATCTGGGTTTGGAAATTGGTATGGGTCACTCATCCTCTTAAGAGGATAAGGCTTATCTCTTAATAGAATCCAAATCCAAATTAAATTTAGATAATCTCCTAATTTGATTAGGAGAGTGCTCCATAAGGAGATAAAAGAAGATAAGAGCAAACCAGATTAGAAGACCACTCTCTTCTTCTCTTTTGTCTTCCAAGAAACCTTATCATGACCTAGACTTTCAAAGACTGATAGAGATCAGTTTTCTTCTGATTTTTGCAAGAAAAATTCGGAAGAATAGCCTCACCTTCCCTAGTTCAATCCAAGTAGTTAGGTTGTAGTTTTGTTGAAACTGTGTTGTTGAATCAGCTTCACTTATACACTGCGCCATATTTAGTGGAGACTGGTTTTAGGACTGATTTGGGTGTAAACTTCCACCTTGGGATCTACATTTGTGGTATTTGTATTAGGTATAAATCCCCCTCTTTGTTTGGTTTCAAATCTGATCCGGTTCAGTGCAACACCGATCCTGAAAAATGCAATTTCTCAAAACATAGGGAATTCGATTCCCAGAAGGATTAGAAAATTTTTGAAATTTCACGCAACCATCTAGCATGGTTCATCCATCCATATGATGGATCATAACCCTTCCAACAGGCTGAGCAGTTGAGCCACCAAGTTGGACTCTACCAACGCACTAGTTTTCCTCTATTTGGGAAAAGTTATTCTATCATAGATACATTGATTCGGGCCAGTTTCTACATGTGAGTTTAAATCTTATCTCACTTTTGGAGAGAGATTTATGAAATGTGAAACATCACCATTGCAAATTGCAAATGGTCAGTAGGGAATGATGACATTTCCTTTTGCAATCATATAATCGAATGAGCAAAGGGCTTCTTTCTAATGAAACCAGCTATACGGACCTGGTTGATATTATGCTGAATGAAATTTTCATCATGGATGGTTTGTGGCTTTTTCTTGATGATTTGAATATTGATGAGGGGATCAAACAAGTGGTGTTGAATTCTAAAGTTTCCATGATGGAGTTTTCTTCATTAATTTAAACCCAAAGTCCATCCATTTATTGGTGGAAGAATGTTTTGGAGGTGGGTCTTCCCCTAAAAATTATTGTTCTTATGTAGAGATTCATGAAGAACATATTAGGTGTAGAGAGAACATTATCAAAAAAGGAATCTCAATGGCTTACAAATGCAAGTGTCCAGCTCCCCTGATAGGGAAACTCTTAACCATCTTTTCTCTACAAGTGTTTTGGCTTAAGGTTTGGTGTATTTTCGCTTCAATATTTTATATTCCAATCCATAGAACTCAACATATTAATTAATGTATTACGGGATTCAGACCAACTGAATAAACATTTACAAAGTTGGTTTTCGAAGACCCATCTTAATACATATAGGAGGAAAGTAGTATTTGATGCGGGAGGCTATGTTTGGGCTATTTTAACAAAGGAACGCCTACCAGTTGGGTAACGTGGAAAGCTGACATCAAGGAAAGTTGGACCATACAAGATAGTTGAAGTCATCAATGAGAATGCTTATAGACTAAAGTTATCTAGCCATATGCATACCCATGATGTTTTTAATGTCAAACACTTGGTACTATATGTTGGCAATCATTCAGATGATGATTTGAATCTGAGGACGGATTCTCCCCAACCCAAGGAGGATGTAGTACAGGAGAAGGACAATAAGTTCTATGCAAGTTGGGACCACTCCAAGACACATAAGAATCACGGATGACGTTACTGATCCAATCAAGTAATCAATTACCAAGTTAGCACCAGTGCAGAACTTCTATTCTAGTTCGAATTTACCAAGTTAGCACCAGGACGGAATTTCCATCTTAGTTCAAATTTACCAAGATAGTGCCAGCATGGAATTTCCATCTTAGTTCAAATTTACCAATATAGCACCAACAAAGAATTTCTATCTTAGTTCGAATTTACCAAGCTAGTGTCAACGCAGGACTTCTATTCTGGTTCATAATTACAAAATTAGTATTAGATCTTGATTTTCGAATTTTTGTTCAATTATGACTTTCTTTTTGAAGAGTTTTAGTAGGATTCTATTATAGAGTGTTTTCATATATTAGAAAGCTTTCTTGTAGGAAACATAAGGGTGTATGTCTATATAAAGAGTAGCTAAGGGAAGGTTAAGACAGTTTTTTTATGGAATTTTCTCTTAATTATTCAGTGAACAATTCTTCTTCCTGGTAGTTCGACTTTTGCTCTTTTCTTTGAAGCTTTTCTCAACGTGTTTAGTTTCCGTACTGTGCCATTTGGTTGCTTGCCTCGACTTGTCTTCTCAGCTCCGCTATCTCTACTTGTGTTTTGTTGTTGGGCTCCTGTTCCATGATGTAAGCTATTTGTTTCTTCTTAGGAGCCATAATTCGATTTAAATACGCTCTTGTTCATTCCTTGTATTACCGATCATCATAGGTGTTTGTACAGTATGCTTACATATTCCTTCAAAGAAAATTAACATTAAGAGGGTCAAATGGTTCCTTTCGGTCCGACCCCCTATGGCAATGTCAAACTAAACACAGATGGGGCCTATAGAGGCACTCTGGGCCTTGGAGGTGGGTGTGGCATTATACATGATAGTCAGGGAAAGTTTCTAACAGGGTTTGTTGCTTATTAGGGTCATACAACCTCACTTCAAGTTGAAGCTTATGCCCTTTGCAATGGCCTCCAACACTATCAGGATTTCAATTGGTTAGATGTGAAAGTGGAATGTAATCCAGATTTTAGTAAATCTTTTCCCCGGAATACTTTTATGTTTTTCATGACATTACATACCCCCTCTCTTAGGCTTAGTTTGGAAGTACAAATACAAATATGTAGAGTGCAAATCCTTGTATTTTGTATTATTTTGTCACTCTCTTATGAAAAAACAAATCATCCAGTTGATGCATGATGAGATCCACTTATTTGGTGGCTTCTCAATGACCAAGGTAATTCTTGTCTTTGATGTTTGCACAGGCCAGCCAGTTGATTTTTTTTTTATAATTGGAGGTTTTTGTTTTATACGATTTAATTTTGTTAGATCTGGCTTGAGAATCTGCCAGTTCTGAGATTTTTTTTAATTTTTTTTCTGATTTATTTTTGTAAGAGCTGGTTTGAGAATGTGATCAGGTTTGTATCGCTGACTGGGGCAAGGCGAGCTATGTCCTCCCATGTTTCTTCTAGTTTTATTACATTTTTAGTAAAATCCAAAGGGTGGTCACCCCTCCACCTATAGTATTTTTTGGGGTAAAATATGTGTTTTTACCTTTTTAACCGTAAATTTAGAGCTATTAATGTATTTGTGGGATTCATGAGGACATACCGATATACTTCATGATTCAATGTACTCCATATTGTAGCAATAGATATCCATTTCTGCCCTTGCTAAAATACATAATATCAATATTTTCAACCTTAGGACCTTACTTTTTGGAACAATTAAAACCTTGGTTATTTATAGCCACTTTTTCTGCAATATTAAACTTTAGATGACAGAAATACAGATCCACAGAATCAACTACTTAACCTGCCAAAAGCTTCTGTAATAATTGCTATGGAGTATAACAAACACCAAGATATGCAGATTATTGCCGCCCTGGTTTCAGTTAAGAAATTAAAATACAACATCTCTCGACAATATGACGACTGTTACATGTGAGAGTTGGGACTTGCACCCCTAGTGGATCGTCGTGCCAATCCAAATAGCTGATAGCTTACAAATACCACCGAATGCCATCTCAAGTATTACCTGTGGTCTGTGGAACACCCAAAGCGTATAGCATTGAGATCCACCAGCAGGAACAGCGGTTTAAAGATTGATATCATTAAGGGCATCCCCAGATTCTCACTCCCGTGGACGGGCAAGCCAGAGAGAGCTCAGTGCACGTAGCCGGGAGAAATAATCATTTATGGCAAGGAGAGCACGAGCTGATTGGCGGGTTGTCAATATACGATGCATTTGTTGCAATGTTTGTTGCCGCAGATTGTCAGCCTGGTGGTATCACAACAGTGGAATCATAAAAGGGCAGATGCATGGGGGGAGTAATGAAACAGACTTACCTACCATGTCATGGAAGCGGAAGTGAAGATATCAAGGGCCTATGTTCAAGTCTAATCAGTATTCTAACACTTGGATCGGACAAAAACTAGAATTTTGGCCAGGGCACGGATCAAATGGTTTGACCACCAGGTCAAACAGTTTGACAGTGAGTTGAAAAAATGCAGATAATAGATTTTGTAATTTAACACGAATATAAAGTGGTGATCAGATGGATTAAGGTGCTATTTTTAACATAAATGACCAGGTTTCAAGTCTTGTTATTTGCATTTTATTGAAAATGTACATGTAAGTATTGTATATATATTAATTAAAGATACACAGATGAGAGCAAAATGAGCAATAGCTTAATGGATTGACTCGCATGTTACTTTAAGGTTTCAAGTTTGAATTTAATGACCTGAACAGGTCATTGAACCTGGTTGGAACATTGAAACCAACTGTTCCACCAAGTTTTGACCAGTTCTTTCAGTTTCCCAGAAAAATGAAACCCAGGGTTAAAAAAAACGGAATGTCATCCAGTTCCCAAGTTGGTCCAACTGTCCAGTCCAGTCCGAGTCTTAAAACATTGAGTCTAATAACTAGGATCCTTCAAACTCTACTCAATGGTCAACAGAAAAAAGATTTGATGGATATATTAGGTATTGGTAGGGGTAAAGCTCGGCTGAAACTGAATATTAAAAATTACACTATGCAAATATAGATCCATTAATGAAGTAAATCAGTTTACTGGCTCCATAAACTTTTTAACACCCATACCCTTCATAACCATGCTAAACACTAGTACCAGAGATACCCATGCAACCAGACACCATGGTCATGGTATGGGTAATGGATGTCATGTCATGGCACCTACTACTCAACTAGTAATGGCAATTGTCATTGCATGTGAATATGGCGTGACCACATTTGGACACCAATCATAAATTAATGTTCTAGTTCTAAGAAGTAAATTTTGTACCAGTAACAAAAACTATCCCAAGAACTAAAAGATGTGTAGGCAATCTATAAGAAACCTTGTTTTTTGGTATTACATATTATACATATAGGGGGATTAAGAATGGGGACAGAGCAGGGTGCACATGAGAGGTCCACTGGCCTTACCACAGACAGCCTGCAGTTGCATAGGATTGATCCCATGCCTCCAAATTCGGAGGGACACAAGTGGCCATCTCAGCCACTGGATCATCAACTATATAAGAACCTCAAGTCACCCATAAGAAAATCCTTTTTCCTATGAAAAATAGGAAGCATTACATTTAGCAGGACTCTAGAAAATGCTTGGGGATTTACCAGCAGAACTATAACTAATTACAGAGCTTACCTGCCGAAGGAAACCCTCGAGGGTTCCTAGCTTTCCCATTGCCATTGCCATCTGACCCATATAGTTGGCAACATTCCCTGACGAACCTGAGGGACCAAGAGAGCCACTGGCCAGAGTCTCAGCCAGGGATTGTTGTAATGCCTCCATCCCTTGGGACAAAGCATCCTCRGCCTGTTGGGATGACTGCTGCAAGTTGCATATGCCCATCAACTGCTGCTCAGTTAGTGGCTCCAGTTGATTCACAAGAAGCTGCAACATGCATGTTTAGTAAAGAACCGCGTATATTAGGAAAAGAACAAATAAAACAAAACTTAAGCTCGTATAGAATTTAGTATCAATTTTCAACCAAGAACTAGAGTTCATTCAATAAAAATAAACCTATAACACCACCAAATGAAAACAAAGTTCAGACCACTTTATCAGTAGCACAGCAAAAAACTCTATTACAGTGCAAATAAAAGGAAAATGTGCCAAAACCCAAAAAAAAAGACTGCAGAAAAATACAACAGCTAAAAGCTGACTGGACAGTAAAAGAAACTAATGCAAGAGTCTTCTTGTATATTAGCCCCAGGCATGGAATCCCCAACCAAATTAAACCAACACACTCCTTCCCTAGCCAAAAGGGCAGCTAAAGTTTGCCTTTATAAAGGTTCACCTCAACAATTAAGGGTCCAAGGGCATTTCATTAATTAGTAAGAACAAAAAATATGAATAGAAGAGCAAAAATGCCAGCAAGGGGAAAACTTTTTATTATCTTAAAAAAACCATGGATAGAAGATTAGTTGCAATCAGCTCAAAAACTTTCGAACTAGAACGACAGTCGAACAACCAAGAGGAAGAGGTCAAGTAGGTAAGGGAGTTTCTTCAGCTGGCAATGAAGTCCCAATCAAAGGTTCTTGTGGATCGTAAGAGAACTGCAAAGGACAGAGTTCTCCTCTTACAGTTGAAAGAAATTAGAGGAGATTTGTGCATCTGAGCAGTTGGGAATCTTCGACTCACTGGTGTAGCATCTGTGTTCCCGAAGAACCTTCCATAGTAGGTTGGAGTTTGTTTGACCAGCTTCCAAGCTCGTTTGACCCCCCAAACCTTTCCCCTCCCTTTGAAAGCAGCTCAACAAACCTGTTTCCCCAGTTAGAAAGAAAAAACAAAATAACCAAGGCAAGAGGGTCAGCTTTCATCTCAGTCGTCCATCAGAACACACCCTTCCGGCAATTGGAAATTAGCTTTTGTTTGTACCAAACCCCAAACGCTAAGTTGGAGAGAGGTGGAACTAGGTCCATCCGCTAACATCCACTCACAAAAACTACTTAAGCTCACCCCCTTCAAAGAAAACAGGGCAGTGGGTTTCGCTCCAACGGAGGAGCTGGTGCTTACTTGGGTCAAACAGGAGGCAATCCCCCTTCCACCTTTGGACGAATGAGGTATTTTCTCTGATCAGTGGCCTTTGCAGAGAGCTAGCAGACATTGATCCTGAAATGAAAAACTTCACCAAGTTGAGCTTCGCCAGAATCAAGGTGCAGAATCGGTGGCGTTCACATAGTTCCCCACTCAATTCCCCAACTGGAAAGGAACATCTGGTTCTACCTATCAGTGGAAGTGGAGAAGACAACCGAGTCTCTGGTGCAATTCAACAAGTCGACTCAAAACAACAGTAACTCTCCACGTGGCAGCAGTTCAGTGGAGCTTCATTCAAAAATTACCTCTAGAAGCTTTCATCTCCCAAAGGAAAAAGAGACGATGGGGCTCTCCTCTCTCTCGGCCAGAAGGGAACTTTCCCAAAAAAAAACAAGTTCAGAAGGCCAGCTAAGAAGGGAGCCGAAAGTTAAATCTTCACAAGCTGCTCCCAGGAAATATTTCAAAAATTCAATTTCCTTCCCATAGAAGCCCCCACCACACCAAAAGTCTCTAGCCCCTTATAATGCCTTTGTGGACCCACCCACCTAAGTGCACAAGCCCGACCCGAACCGATAGGATACTGCCCACCGCAGAGGTCTCTTCGTGGGAGACCTAACCTCCTACTAAGAAAAGAAGAAGAGAAATGGATTAAGCCAGGTCTGCCCTACTCGTTTATTCTCAGATATTTATAGTGTACAAGGAAATCACGACATGTGCATGGGACTGTTCATGGCTGACGTGTCTTCCTTGTGTACATGTAGCGAATGGGCAGGCGTTTGGCTTCTTTCAACATGTTGTGCTCCTCGTGGGCCTTTATAGGCACTGTGGGCTGGTCCCCATGCTGGTTAGGGGTATGGGCCTCAGGTCTCACATGGGCTGGGGCCCCAACAACTCGCCCCTCCTTCGGAACAACCTTGTCCTCAAGGTTGAAGCCTAGAAACATCTTTTTGAGATTGTCACAATCTTCCCAGGATGCATCCTCCTCGAGCAGGTGTTTCCAAACCATTAAGGCTTCCTTGTGCATTGTCTTCCCCATTTTAACCCACCTTAGATCTCGAACCACCATAGGCTCCGACTGTAGACGCCCCTCCTCATCGAACTCCAGCAATGTGGGGTTAGCATTCATGTTTGGTCCTATACTCTTCTTTAGTAGGGAAACATGGAAGACTGAGTGGATGCAAGAAGATGGCGGAAGATCCAGTCTGTATGCCACCTCTCCTACTCGGCCCACTATACGAAAGGGCCCAAAAAACTGAGGTGCAAATTTAGGCCACTTCCGCTGGGCAACTGACACATGGCGGTAGGGCTGAAGCTTCAAGAACACAAACTCTCCCTCATGGTAGGTTACCGGCCTATGCTTCTTGTCATACTAGGCCTTCATTTGCTACTAGGCTCATTCCCAGTGAGGAATGAGAGGTGGTATTGTACCATAGCTCGGCCCATGGCAACCAATTCATCCATGGTTTGGGCCTTTCCCCCGTAAAGCATCTCAAATAAGTCTCCAAGCACCTGTTAACCACTTTGGACTGTCCGTCCGCTTGTGGGTGGTAGCTGGTGGTGTGGTTCAACTGAGTCCCCTAGGCTTTAAAATATGCAATCCAGAATCGGCTCATGAAAACTGGGTCCCTATCCGTCACAATGGATCGTGGGGTGCCATGCAGTCTAGTCACCTCCTTGACAAAGGTGTGTGCCACTTGGGTCGCTGTGTATGGGTGCGCCAGCCCAATAAAATGACTGTAATTACTGATTTATCCATGGAAGTTGGGAGTCCCGTGATGAAATCCATGGTGATATCCTCCCATACTTGAGTCGGAATCGGAAGAGGCTGCAACAATCCCACTGGAGTTTGATGGTCAGATTTGTAACGTTGGCAAGTAGGGCATTGGGCTACTGGACGGCCTTCTTCATCCCTGACCAAAACAAATGTTGGCTTACCCGACAGTAGGTATGGAATATTCCCGAATGGCCACCCTTTAAAGAAGAGATCTGGCCCCACTAAGTAGAACCCTGGGGCTGAAGCCGGATCTGTTGTAAGCCTCTGAACGATCTTCTATATGGTTTCGCCTAGGTGGGCTTCTTCCTTGAGCCTGGCCCAGATAGAAAAATTGGGACGGGATTCACCCAACATGAAAACCTCCTCGCTGTGGGACAGAGCGTCCGCCGCCTTGTTTGATACACCAGGCTTGTACTCCACCCAGTAGTCAAACCCCAACAACTTATACAACCACTTCTACTGAGCCGAGTTGTGCATTGGTTGTTCTAACAAGTGCTTGAGGCTTTGGTGATCGGTACGGATGACAAAGGAATGTCCCAGCAGACAACGCCTTACTGAAGTAGGCCAGGGGTCTACCTTGTTAAATAAGGATTGCTCCCACTCCGGACTTAGATGCATCACATTCTACTACAAACTCTTGAGAGAAGTCTGGTAAGGCAAGAGTGGACGGGGTAGCCAAGACCTATTTGAGGTCCTGGAATGCAGCTTGGGCTTGGTCATTCCAAATAAAAGCATTATTTTTGAGCAGTTGGGTCAAAGGGCCAGCTATCAGGCTGTAATTTTTTATGAACTGTCTGTAGTAACCGGTTAGGCCCAGGAACCCCCTAAGGGCCCGTATGGAATCTGGAATGGGCCAGTTAACCACGGCTGCAATTTTGTCAGGATCAGCTCAAACCTGACCTTGAGAGACAATATGGCCGAGGTAGTGCACCTCTGTCTGGCCGAATAGACATTTGTCTTTCTTGGCGTAGAGTCGGTGTTGCCTCAAGACCTCCAAGGTAGTTTTCAGATGTTGTAGATGGGCATCCCAACTGTCACTATAAACCAGTAATGCATCGAAGAATACCAAAATGAACCGCCTGAGGTAGGGCCGAAATATATCATTCATCAAAGCTTGAGAAGTGGAGGGAGCATTGGTCAGCCCGAAGGGCATAACCAGAAACTCATAGTGCCCGTCATGAGTCCGGAATGCCTCCTTCAACACATCTTTCGGGTGGACCCGGACCTGGTGGTCTCCGGCCCTCAAGTCCGGCTTGGAATACATCGTTGCAGCTCCCAACTCATCCAACAGCTTGGAGTAAGTGCCCTTGCACCTTGATTTTCACGGCTTTACAAACCCCATCACAACTGAGTATGTGTACGTTAGCTACATGGACTGAGAAAACCGGTATAGACTCCACCGCTAAATGGAGTTGGCCAACTAGCTGCTCTGAAACAAAGTTTAGAGAACTCCCGCTATCCACCAATATAGCCACAGGGCTGCCCCCGATCACTGCTCTCAGCCTCATGGATTGAGGTGTGGACAAGCCAATCAGGGCATGGAAGGAAATCTCCAACCCCTGCTCTGTAGATTCTTCTTCATTTTCTGGGGTCCCTTCTTCAACTATGGGACCCTTCTCTTCGGGATCCTCTGGTTCTAATAGAAATAGTCGGGGTCTCTTACAACGATGTTTGGGCCCGAACTTTTCATCATAGTTATAGAACAGTCCACGCTCGCGGTGTGACTACATCTCCGCCCAGGAGAGATGCTTGAGGGGTAAACCATTCGATCCAACCGGCTTGGACGGGCCCGGTTCAGATTTGGTCAGGGAAGTCTTGATGATTGGTCTGGCAAGAGTCGACTTTTTCACCTGTCTGAGTTTATTCAGTCTCTCTTCATGCAGGCGGGCCAAGTGAGCCGCTACATTTACAGTGACTTGTTGTAGGGCTTTCACCTCATACCGGATTTCATCCCTCAATCCCCCAAAGAAAGCTCCCACCAACGCCGATTCAGGCCATCCATATACCCAAGAAGCCAACCTCTCAAACTCATTCTGGTACTCCCTCACCGTCCCCAATTGTTCAAGTCTCGACAGAGCTT